TTCTTATCGTTCCGTGTCTGACATCCTGGTAGGGAATCTTGTGTACTTGCCTCCAGTTTGCAACACCCAGTACTTGCCTCCCCGGGTTTCACTTTCTCATTGTGATTGACATCCGCATGTGAGTATTCTAACTTGCTATCCCGGTTTGGTAATCAACTTGGCACAGAGTGTGAATGCTCTTGCTGCATATGGGTATCACCTGTCGAGCATGTGTCAGTCTCTGGACTGGAGGTCTGCTTGCATGTGTGAGGGGTTTCACTTATCGTTTGAAAGTTTTGTATTAAAAGAAGAAATCTGATAGCAACTGATCAAATGTGACGCGGTTACATAAGGAGACGGATCAAATGTTGGTGGATCCCTCTCCTTGTGTAATGTACGGTCTGGACGTGCCTCTAAGGATGCAGTCTGAAGACACATCTATGCACTTCTGCACCAAACCTCATGCCAAGGCAGATGGATTGGTCTAATATGCATCGGTATTGTGGAACGACAACCAGTGCTAAACCCTAAGCCCTGAAACTGTACCCTGAATCCTACACCCTAAACCCTATACGCTAAGCTATAGGTGTTAATATTGAATGCCAACTTGCCTGCATGCTGTTGACATTATGGCACCTGACAAAAATTGTTGATGTGAATAGAATCCATTACCTTCTCATCATTTTAACTGTTGGCTGATGCCAGTTGCGCCACTGGCATCAGTTGGTTTTCGTGCAGCGCAGCGCAGTGCACAGCGTACCGCACATATGGACCATGTAATGAATCTCGTGAATGGACCATGTAATGAATCTCGTAAACATTCTCGAGAACATTCTCGTGAACTTTCTCGTGATTCTCGTGAACATTCTTGTCCCTTTTCCGGTTTTCTGAAAGGAAGAGGAAGTGTCTGACCTGAACCTCCCCAAGGAGTGGAGCTCTCGGTATTCCTTCCTCGTTATATAAAAAAACAATTACTGATTATCCGTTGTTTTTTATTTTACCAGGCCCTGGCCTCCCTGGCAAGCGTGTTTGTACCAAGACAGTGGGGAATAAAAGAAGAGAGAAAGGTCAGCCTAACCCTTGTGGCACTAGCCGCCAACCGTTGTGGCGCTAGCCGCCGGAGCAAGGGGGGCCTGCTTCCGTGCACCCCACCCCCAAACCGTTGCCCCTCCACGGTAGATTGCCCTACTGGGCGGGAGGTTTACTAGCAGCACCCAGACACGCAGTAGAGTAATAATCCCCTGGGGGGCATGGAGTTCTTCATTGTTCTTTTTCTGTAGAAAAGATTTTTCGTGTGAGCTTTAGATCCTTGCTATGTGATAGGCAAAGAATGTGAACTGCCACTTTTTCTTCCAGAGTGAGACACGCTCAAGTCAGCGAGTTATGTGTGCTTGCTTCCCGGCGTGTTTTCCAGAAGAAAGAAAAAAGTCTCTGGGAAGGGCGTTCTGTCGACCTTCTATTGACGGAGTCAGATTTGTGGATATCAGCAGGCCTGGTCTACCGGGCTGCTACGCAGGGAAGCACAGCCAGTCTAGACCGCCCTTTATAAGCACATTCTTTTGTATTTTTAAATTTTTGTTAGTGTTTATTGCTTATGTCGTGACATAACTCAAATAGTGACAAGTCATTTGTGGGTTCTGTCTTTTCTGCGTTTTGCATTGTTATGGTAGTTGGATTTCACACTCAATCCTCTGTCGGCAGGCTTTTCTGAAAAGTTTATTATTTCATTTACATTTAGGATCAATGTGGGTGTGTGATTTATGATCATTTCTTCCAAAAGGAGTCTTTATGGAACAGATTTGCAAGATCCTACACTAGTAGTCCGTTTGAGCCACATAACTCGCAGTCTGCTAGCTCTCTCACTGTGTAAGAACCTCTGGAACTCTGGCAGTGAATTGAACGACGTTCCCAGTTCTGCAATAGGACTGAAGGTTCTCAGTTATGCAATTGCTATACCTTTTTCTCTTTTGGTTTCCCCCTTTTTTTTTCTTTTTTTTCTTTTTTGTCGCCGTTTGAGACATCATCCTGAAACTGACCGGCACCACATAACATAATTTAGGAATTTCGTTCTTATATATCTCCATCTGGATTCGAGCTTAGGTCTGCCATTTCAACAGTTTGTAGGTGTATCAACTGATCTAGACACGTCCATGAAAGTAGTGGGGACGCTGGGAAGTCTATTCTTTCTATTTTTACGTGGTATTTTTTCTATTTTTATTTTTACCTGGTATATTCCGATACTCCAGCAAACTCCAATTGTCTTTTGCTGTTCTAGAGGTTCTTGTTTGCTAACCCAACTATTTAATATTTATCATTACTCCAATCCCGAACACCAAAGAAGTAGGACCAGAATCCCATTGCATTATTCGACGCTAATATTTTCTTGACTACACAGAACAGGCTATTGAACATTCTCCGCTGTCCGGACTCGAACTGGAATGGACAAGCTGCAGGATTCTTTCAAACTAGCTATTGAGGTGTAGATTGGTTGTTCAAACTATATATCTATGATTGGACTTTTGCTTGTATTGTGTTTGGTGGCTGGTGGAACGGTCTCTGGCGAGCATTTACTCGCGAATGCTTTTTCAACAGACAAGCATTTACAAATGGACCTTTCCCAACGTGATGGCTCACTTCCGTGTATAGTAATTGACATTTGAAAAGCTTGCGTGTTTGTGGTTCCAAGGCAACCCACCTCACCTTCTAGCATCTCTAAAGCACAGGATGATGAAGTGTTTTTGAGACTTTTCTTGACTGCAGGGCACCCTAAAAATGTTGAATTTACTGGGCGGGGTTTTTATGATTTAATGACACTTTTCAGGAATCTTTCCTCTTTATTATTTATCTTTGATGGCTGTCTTTCCTGAACTGGAAATGATTCAGATAGCAGTTCTGGTGATCTGTGGATAGACCATACCTATTCATGTGGTGCATGGATGTCAGCTTTCTTTTCTCTGGTCCCTTTGTGGTCGGCAAGGTTGGAAAAACATGATATGCTTTTTTGCAGTGCAAGCCACGATGGCCGGTATTGCGTGAGTGTTTTCTTTTGCTGGTCTGCTCTTGGCCAAATATAGCAGTCCTGTTTCATGGTGGGGAATGTCACCCACCTGCTCTCAGATTTTACTGATGCAGATTGTAAACAGAAATACGCTGGGTTGTTAATATGTCTCAGACGTTGAGAATCCTTTTTCCCCTCAGAGAAAAAAATGTAAAGATGTTCTCTCCTCGTTCCCTCCCTCTTTGATCTGTAGTCGGTCATCACGCCTGCACTTTCGAAGTGGCATGTCCTCTGCGTGACTCGTGCTCTTTTTAATTTAACGCACACAAATCATGATAGAAAAAAAATAATAATGAGGGCTTTACTATATCATAGTAACACGGTACCACCATAATCATGAAGTCCACGAAGGCCAAAGCACTCCGATCTCCATCCTTGTGCCCTTAACCACTAAGGTAATGAAGGCTTCCTACATACTGTTTTGCTCAACCAACTCCCTATGTACTATTTTGCTGTGGGGTCACTCCTGCTCTTTGCTACTTTCATGCGTTCTGGGAATCTCACTTTTGCAATAAAACAAAACGAAATAAAACGAAGTAGCAAACAGTAGAAAACACATCATCCCCTTTTTTTTTTTTTTTTTTTTTTTTTAACAAGAACACCTCCCTGCAATGCAGATGATCCTATGAAGATAAGAATGCTCAACTTTGATAGAGGCGTCAAGCCTCGGTGTGGTTCCCTGGAGATTTACGAGAAAATCCTCTAGATTTATGACATGTGCTCTTGATTGGACTGCACAGCTCTTAAGTTTTATGAGATTTGATATGCCCCAATTGTCTGACTCGTCACCTTTTGACTTGATCAGTTGAGGGGCCAATCTGGTCTGCCATTACTTCTTCTGGCTGCTGAGTTCAGCACTTTTCAAGGCAGTGTGTTCAGGACGAATCTGGTCTGTAGGACTCACTGTTAAGCGTGGTTGTTTGTGTTGCCTCGTGGTATTTTCAATGACTGCGTAAAAAACACAGACAAGGAAAGGAGATGGGAGTCTCTCACTGTAATAGTAGACTTTCAGCGCTTTTGATTAGCGCTTGATTTGCAGTTTTTGCCTGTGTACGTAATGGTTCTCTTTGAAGGACCTATATGTGTATGCCTCGCTGTGGTGGCGCTTCTTCCTGCATTGGTGTCTTGGTGTCTTTCAGTCCTGAGCATTTTTGGTGTTTTGCTTTGCATTTGGTAGGTGGTGTCTTTGTGAATTTGAAGTCGTTATAACAAATTCTTATTCTTATTCTTATTCTTATTAGTATTAGTATTAGTATTAGTATTATTATTGTATGAATACTATGAATTTTTTTTTAATTTTTTTTTTGGTTGTAGGTTTGTTCTGTTGTGACCCGAAGCAGCAGTGTAGTTTATGTGTTCCTTATTCCATAGTGGCTTTGCTTACCAACGCTGACATGAGCGTACAGTTCAGCATCATGGGCTTAGGGACAGTTTTGAAAACAATGTAATTTTTTAACTTTTGGTTACATTCGTATGGAGGGACAATTTGCTCTTTTGAACTGTGGATTGTCATATGTGAGAGTTCACTCTGTAGTGACTAGAGGAGTGGTCGAGTTTCAAAAACGCTGTGGTAGTGATTTTTTATTTTTAAAATTTAATTAAGTAATTAATTACTTATATTTGGCAGATGCCTATTCGGTTCGTTTTTAGGAGTACAGCCCGTTTGGTTCGTGATGCTACCTCAGTTTCCTCGAATATGTCACCATATGTAACCACTGACGAACTGAGGGAGGTTGTTTGGTGTGTGGAGCCGTTGGGCTTACACTGACGAATTGAGGGAGGTTGTTTGGTGTGTGGAGCCGTTGGGCTTGTCACCTATGGTGCAAAAGAGGACTGCCTTGCTGTCAGCGGGTCCCCCCTGCTCTGGAGAATACCTTTTTCTGCCAGTCCTTCCTTGAAGCTCAGACGAGGTTCTTTTCTATGGATCGTAACTTTGTAAGTCATGGGTTTGACAATGGTGCAGAAGAGCACCGGGTCGCAGACTGATGGTTGTCCTATTGCCGAGGGCTTTTGCCGGCGGCACATCCTGCGTAGCAGAGGAATCATGCATTGGATGGTTCATTTCCTTCTGCATACCTTTGCGCGCATTGTCATTAGTGACGAAGAACAAGGCAGAAGTGTCTGGGATGCTCGCTCGGGTCATTCTTCGTAGAAAGGTCTGCAGTGCTGAGCCCTTACGCTAAAGACCTTTCTCCCGAAGCTTTTTCCCTCTTACAATACTCACACTTGTCTTTGGAATGACAGGAGGCGATTCCCCCCTTGTAGATGGTTCTGCTTGCTATCTATCTTCGGAAAATTTTGCAGTACGTGCGGGGATGGATTCACACGCTCTTCTATGCAGAGTAGATTTTGGACTGATATGGACTCGCCACTGTTGGCAGTGGAATATTTTGATCTAGGTTCAACTGCACTGGTGGCTTATTGTGGTGGCTCATGGTGATCAGCAGTGCAGGTGGAATGAGAGGATCTTGTGTCTTACATTGGCTTGGAATATGAGCAACGGAATTCGACATTTATTGTGGGATTTAGGGCACAGCTTAGATTTATCAAAAGTGTACACGTGGTGGCAATTTGAACCCACTTGTGGTTATTGTTTCTCCTTCTTTTTTCGTGCTTATGGCTTTTTTTCTTGCTCTCTTCCTGATTTTTGAATCACCATCCCTGTCCTCCTTCCGTTGAGGCGAGGAAGTCTCCTCTTCATGCCTTCCTGCTTGGTTCGGAAGTCGTCGCTGGACTACGTCTTTTGGGGTTGGTAAGGTATTTTTTCAAGTACAGCGGGCCTTTAAGGGTAGAGCACTCTTACGTCGTAATAAAAAAGCGTGATGACAGTATGATGCTTTTTCTGTTCGTGTTCCTTCTCTCTCCCTGCCATTGTGAAACGGGCTTGACGACAGTATGCCCCTTTATGGTGGTATGTATGGGTCTCTTTTTGCTGGATGCACTGGAATTAGTGTAAGTGGGTTTTGCACCCTACTGTCTAATTCTTATTTGCTGGTGCCTATTATACATTTCGTCTCAGCAAAGTTTGATCCCGACTGCTCGAGGTAGCATGAATTGGAAGGTGGCTATTGATACCATCAATTTCACTTGTTGTTTTGTTGTTGTAGTATCTGTCATGCCGACGTATAGGCTAGTTGAACATGCGTTCCCCATTCGTCCGCTTTGGTGGAAGTGATACTTCAAATTCTGTTGTTGTTGTTGTGATCTGTGCTGCTGACGTCAGGATGGGATATGGCCTGTCTATTGTGTTGCTGTGTTCCCAATTCGTCCGCTTTGGAGGAAGTGATACTTCAAATTCTGTTGTTGTTGTTGTGATCTGTGCTGCTGACGTCAGGATGGGATATGGCCTCTGTTGTGTTGCTGTTGTGCTGGCCATGCGATGAGCGATGACGGTATGCTATGTGCTGGATGTCTGTTTTCCGCCCCTCCTTTTTACGTGCACCCCTGGTTTCACTGTGGTGTGGCCGGTACATGTATTTTGCACTTTATGTTCTTGGCACAGGGGTGTCGTTCCCTTTTTTTCCTCTTTCCTTTGTCATTTTTATTTTTCAAGAAAAACAGGTTCTAATGGATGTGGCTTCTTTTCCTGTTTGCTGTGGTGCTTGTATGCGCGTGATGTCTTCGTGTGGGACCATTCTGAGGTGGAATCAAGTATCTGGGACTGGCTCCAGGGAGCATGGGACCGGTTTGAACTACCAAGGTGCAAAGCCTTCACCATGGACTACCCTATGAAGGAGGTGCGGTTGCAACAATGGCAGGTAAGTTTGTCTGAGATTTTCCTCGCTAGCAGTCCTTAGAGGCACCTTTTGCAAATATGCATGTTTTTGGACATCTCTCCCTCCCATTTTCTTCTCCTCCGAACATCTCTCTGCCTCCTGTTTTCTTTGCTGCGGTGATGTGTGCACCTATGCCATCTTTGAGGACAATTTGTGATGGATGCTGTGTGGAATAAAATGAATTTGTAATGTTGTGAGACGTGCACTGCGGGATTCCACCCGGCTCTCCTCTCTTACTCTCTTCATTCGTGTACTGTGTGTGCCTGTTCCTGGTGGTTACCTAAATTATGTAATAGGCGTGTCTTGTCTAGGCTGAGCACTTCGTGCTTTCTTCGGCCTGAGTGAGCAATAGAGCAAAATCATCTGCTGATCTGCTGATGTGAAATTTCTGTTCTGCCGAACGAAGGCCTGGCCTTTCGCATTGGATTGTTTCTTGGAGATCCGTCAGCGCTGCACCTCTTTCTTTTTTGTGTAGATGATAGCTAGCGATGATGATAGTGTCATCACACTCGGTGGCCATTTGTTGAAAAATGCATGTGAATGTTTTTGGCTCCGTGATTTTCAAGGAGTGTCGTGATGGGCTCCTGGTCTTGAGTATTGTTACTTCCGATCTTGAAATGAACCTGCACCAGTAGCCTTGCATTTGAGGAGGTTTTTTTTTTTTTTTTTTTTTTTTTTTGTGGGTGTTGGTTGTGTGTGCTGTCTCTTATACACATCTAGATGTGTATAAGAGACAGCTGCTGTGTGATGGCGGTATTGTCATGTATTTTGTGT